CTCTCTCTCACACACCTTTTCACTTTCTAAAACTTGTATTCATCAAGAGGGAAAATTGGGAATTGTCGTTTTATCTGCACGCGCAATAAATAAATCAATTTAACGTTAGACGACAATTCCCGATCAAGTTTTCCGGACTACGTGGACGCGAGAGCGTCTCGTTTTCCACACACGCGCGACGCTCTCCCAATTTTACAAATTGCAGATGCACCGATATATTTGGACGGGGAGGAGATCGATGGATTATAATTTGCTCGCGCGAGCTCGGTGATTATCCCCGAGCCGTATAATTCGAAGCGAACCGTCGCATATAGACACACTGTGAGAACCGATTTAATTTCGCTCAGCCGTAGAACAGCCGGTGCGACGAAGAAATAATTAACGTCGTCTAACGAGACGCGATTAATGCCGGCGAATATACACAAGTCCGCCTGCACATCGTCGCATCGAAGTCGGCGCTGCTGCCGCCGCCGCGTCTGCCGTCATTCGATTAGCGCTAAATACAATTTATCGGCAAACTTAAAAGGTGAAAACTGAAGATCGTAGCTTAGCGCGGGCAGAGTTAAATGAGTTTGAGAAGTTGCGAATTAAATAACAACTTTAACGAGGTTGCAGCCCGCCTTTAATGTTCTAGCTAAACCGTCTCTATATCCTCCCTTCCCCTCCCACATTACCTTTACCTTTCTATCTGTACTCGTGGATCAGCCGGGAAAACGAAATTCTCTTTTTTCCCCCTCGTTCCTCCACGCCTCTCTTCAGCTGTGGTCTCTTACCTTTATCTCCACGCGGAGAAATGCGAGACGAATGTTTTTTCGATTAACCTGGGAGTGGATGTGTATCGGTCATTTCTCCGTACTTTTTCGTTTTCTACTTATATCATCTAATCTATTGACATTATCGTATTTTCGCTTTTACGTAAATTTTCTTTGATATTTTCTCGTATAGCGAAGTATGGAGAAGTAGACGGCGTAGACGCACTTATTTCTATGTGAAATTTTATACGTTTTTAGCAGTCGGTCTAAAAGATCATAGCGCGCCTACTAACGTTAGTCTTTTAACTCTGCCGCGTCAGCGTCGCTCAATGTGCTGCCGAACGTCTATTATTTTTTCGACATCATAGTTGGACGGTTCTCTCTTTTTTTATTGAATCAATAAAATTTTCAACAGCACGCGTAATTGGAGTATATTTCTTGATTCAACAGCGATATTATCAAAATTAATACTTGAATTATTTAAATAATATATAATGTGATAATTTTAAAATTGCCATTGAATCAAGAAGATTTATTCTCTATTTCTAAATTTATCAAATAAATTTTTAAGTTTATTAAATCAATGTTTAAGTTAATCAAAGTAAAACGAGAGAAGCAAAAAATTCTTATTTTATTTTATTAAACTAAAAGAATGTCATTTTTTACTAATGCAGTTAAAATAAAAATATTATGATTTTATTTTTAATATATTCACATATGTATAATAAATTTAACATGTTTCCTAAACATATTAGATATTGAAATGGTAAAGAAAAAAAAAGATGGGAAAAAGAAGAAATAGTGACATCATAAAATTATTTTCTTCAATTATGTTTCTTTTAATAATTGGATTGGTAATTTATTAATTATTACTTAAATATTACACATATATGTGCTTAAATATTTTTTCTTGTCGAAATGACCGATAAACGTTGGCCCACTAACGTTGGTCTCGTTCACGCGCTCATTCCCGGGTTAATTACAACAGGATGAGCGGAATAAAACGTAGTCGCAGTTGCGTGTATATTTTTAATAACCCTCTGTGAATCACGCGTATTGTGACGGCCCGACCGCATGGAGTTTCATTCGCTGTCGTGTTATTGCTTACAGTTTGCCGGGGCATCCAGCAGTTCGAGGAGATGCCGCAGTATACCGAGGTCAATCCCGGCCAGGACGCGAAGCTGGTGTGTCGAGTCCTTGGAAAGAGGGGACAGTGTATTTGGCAGAAGGATCAGAAGGTAAATGGTTGCTTCTTATCGAAGCGGCGCGATAGTTTCCAAGCGAGATAATATGAAGAATGCATTGGGTCGGTCGAAAAGGTTCCATCCTTGACGATAAATCAGCTGTCTTTGACGTTAGACGTGAACGATCATAGACAAAACATAGAGTGCTCGGTTAATGAGTAATTTTCCTCTACACGAAGAGAGTATCATGGTTTCTCTTGTTTCGCATAAATTCATGCTGAACACGACAAATTTTTTAACATTTTACAACTTCTGAAATTTAAATAACAGATACGAAACGGGAAAGGATAATGAGTTACACTGCAAAATGTCGATCCGTTTTTCGCTAACGAAATTTTATACACGCCATAACTTTTACTATTCCCTCCGCGCACTGAACGCAGTAAGTCAAACTTTATTTCAAAAATCTCTCGAGAGAAACAAAAAATTCAATTTATATATTTGATAGGCTCATTGCGATGTACGAGCAAGTGAAGCCGTGGAAGGCTCATGAGAGCCGTTAGAGCCATTGATGTGAAATTAAATTTGCAAAAGAAACTTGTGTCAAGAAACCGAATCAAACTTTTTGATTGATCCAGTAGCTGCACGATGAGGGAAATTGTTTGTACTGTTTTCTATCAGTCGTCCCACGGCGGCAACAGACCGTAATAATCGCGATGAGCTCGATGAGTTCGCCTTCGTTACTTGTCGAGGCCAAAACACACCGTGGTGTCGTTCACTCCGGCTTCGCGAGAGCGGCCAAAAGAGAGCGGAGCAGTTGAAAATTCAACTCGCGCGGTACCTCAAGAGATAGAGTACACGAGAAACGTGTACCTTACGTGCCGAAGCGGCCAGGTGCATGTTCCCCTCTGCTCGCGTAAAACTCTAGCTCCCTCTTCTCTCGTCATTCGCGCACGAATCTGTACTGTTCGTGAGAGAGTCGTGAAAAAGGAACGAACCGATAGGAGGCCGCGTATATTTTTGCGTGGAGAGTGCAGAGAAATTTTGTTCTACCGGGGCAACCTAGGAAGTTCACGATACAAGAGCGAGGAGTAACGCGCTCGCGCTAGGTGCGATTGCGAAAATTGAAAAGCACGACGAACAACATCCGGACTGGCGGCAGAAGGAGCCGCGATTCGCGCGCACACGTGTGTATGCATGTGTGCACACGTGCGTGTATATATGTGTGTGTGTGCTGTATCGTAACTCAGGGCATTTCATCGCTCCCGCTCTGCTCCTCTAAGCCCGCGGCAATCGACTTTTCCCCGTTCGCCGTACGAGCGCGCGTAAACTTTCAGATAAGTTTGTCCTGGCCGGAAGTGGACGTTACAGGACGCTCGACGATAAACGCTCGCTCGTTCGTTCGCTCGCTCGCACGCTCGTTCGTTCACTCCCACGACCGCCGCGTCGTGGGAGATCCGAAGAGGAGAGGAAACCCGGCCGCGCGTCTCAAACTTCCGCGGAACTCCGCGACATTGTTCGCCGACTAAGTTTCAACCGGCGCGGCGCAGATAATTTTCGTCCAACCTATTGTCCATTGTTATTGTCGTTTATTCTTGCTTAACGATTTCTTCTCTCGCGGTCACTTTGCCCGAGCGGACAGAGCCAGACCGGAAAACGGAAGCGCGGAAAGTACTCGTCGATTTCGAAACCGCGGAGTAAGAACGTAATCTCTACACGAAGAAAGTTTTACCGCAAAGTTATATTTCTTGCGACGTCTTTGCAAAGCTGGACTGTAATATAAATTATACTATAGAAATATAATAGGTTCGCTTCATATATATTGAGAGAAAAAAAATATCTAAAAAGTAAAAAAATATTTATTCGATAGAGATACTAATGACATGTTTTCTTAAATCTAAATTCTTTTTTTATTTAAATAAAATAAACAATTACTGTCAGGAAAAGCTAAGATTTTAAAAAAATTTATATTTTCTTATTTAAAAATTCTTTTAAATGTTTTAAAGTAAATATGTTATTACATAGTATATCCATATCGAATAAATATTTCTTATTTCTTAGATATTTTTTCTCTCAATATACGATATAATAAACATTCAAATAATTACAAATTTTCTAATAAAAAATGAAACGTGCATAATATTTTTAAATATTATGTTGATTAATAAATATATAATATATAATAAATGTACAATTTCGCTATTTCATAATTCTGTATGATTGAAGATTACAAAAATGTTGTAATTTTTATGACAATGTTTCCCCCGTTTTACGAAGTCATATCTATAGAAACGACTTTATAAGTTGAAAATTTAGTTGACTTTTTTATAAAATTTGTATAAAAGTGGTTAAGAAAAAAGTATCAAGAGAAAAAGTTAGGCGATAATAATAATTTGTCAAAATTGATAATTCTTCGATATTTACGCGACGATCAAGTTGACAGTCACCGTTGCTTTCACGGTTTTATGATAATCGCGAATTTTACGATTAAGGGAAATTGTTGTATTGTCCCTCTCACTCACGGGGGGATTTCAATTACGCTACTTAAACGCGTAATTGAGCGCAGTCCTTGTAACAAAACTGGGTTAATACCATAGTTCTGCCGAAGAAGCGTTTCCTCGCTACTTCCGTAGCTAACGTCTAAATAGTATTAGTATCGCTGAATACGTAGTGTTGCGATGAGAGGATTAGCGCGGATTATTCACTCAAGTAACGGGGAACGTTGCGAATTTTCCTTCCCACATAAAGTTTACTCACGCTCGCGCACGAACGTATATCACACTCGCAAGCTCCCCAGTTCGTTCGATCTTGCGTGCGTCGAGGTGTTCGCAGAGAACATTCAAACAACACTCTGCACAGAAGGTAAGACAGATAGACAGCAGGGACAGAGATATATATATATATATATATATATATATATATATATATATATAGAGAGAGAGAGAGAGAGAGAGAGAGAGAGAGAGAGAGAGAGAAGGAGAACGAGACCGCTTCCGCGTGGCCATTAAGGAATTTATTCACTTAAGATTCTTGGGTATCACCATAGAACTTTGGGTTGATGACGTCAGAAGCGAGAAAACGCCCGTCCAAAATTCTTGCATGCCATTTACAAGTGAGAAGATCATTATACGAAAAAATACTTCTGATCGCTTGTAAAATGCACACTTGTAAAAAATGTTCTGAAAACTATACTTTTTTCTGGACAGTCAATAAATAACCATAAAATTAACGTGACATGCAACCTCCTGACTAGAAATTGATTCTATAGTCGCCTGATTAAGTTGATCTCAATCAGTTAATTGGTTTCTATTAAGTAATGTTATCAGATCCTGATAATACAGTGTGGCAAATCAAGATCTTATTAATAATAAAGATTATAGGACCTTATAAGTTTAGGAAAAAAATAGTATACTCTACATTGTTTTTGTGTAATAATCGATTGTGAGACAAAAAACTGCTGTTTTATGCTTCGAATAACATTGCGCTGGTGAAAGATGGCAAGGTAATGTCATGAAACTAGTTTCAGATCAACATTTCTTATTTGGATAGTGTAATAAGTACATAAAACCGCGTGATTTTGCTCGATAAATAACAAATTTATGAATATGGCCCGCTTGATGCGTCACTGAAAACACATGCCATGGGCGGTGCGAAAATAAATATCCAGTGAATAAGCTCCTCGAACTCGGCGTGCGTCGTTAATTCGTAGCCCCCACCATTACGATTTATAGGAATACATAGTTTACTGCGACGTGTCGCGGGCCCATAAAGCCACAAAGGGACAATTTACGCGCGGTCCTTCGCTTGATCAGCCGGAATCCGGCGGCAACGCGTTTTCTCGCATGACAAATTCGCGATAGCGCGCGCGGAGCGATATTTCATCGCGGCGATCGCGAAAACGCAAAACACGCGGATAGAGCGGCGATGGACGTGCGAGAAGTTAAAATTTCAATTAAATCCCCGGGACACGACAAAGGGGGAGTCGAAACGAGCGAGCGCTTCCGTCGTCGAGTACGCGGCCGTCGAAAACCGGCGGGCTCCCTCTTGGCCGCGTCGGTCACGTCGCGGGGTGCATCGGCCGCCCTGAATTATTACGCCGGCGATTTGTACGCGAACACGTACGTACCAGCATGATACGGTACGGTACGGCGCGGTACCGGTCTATAGACGGGCGTAATAGAGAATAACACGCTCTACGGGTCGCGATGTATCCACGTTAGCGGTCGCGTAAATCCGCGATACATTTCCTTCCTTCCTTCCTTCCGACGGGCGGGCTCGGGGGCAGCCGCCGACTTGTATCGATATATACACCCCCTTCCCATCCCCCTGCTCGTCCTCTCTTTCCTCATGGTTCCTATCTGTGGGTACATCGTTGCCGTGGATGTATCTTGCCGATGCGCGCCACGTACGTATGTACGTACGTACGTACGTACGTACGTACGTCGACTCACTGGATATATATTGGTCCGTCTGGCGCTTGATTGGAGATGAGACGGGCCGGAAACCGTGAAAACACGGGATGATGCGCGGCGCAGCAGAGCAGCACCCGTCCTCGCTGTTGCTGGCGGTGGAAGAGGAAGCCGTGTGTATACCTTCGCGCACAGGAGCGCGTACGGGAGGAAAAGCACGAGGGTAAATGGAAAGGGTGGGGGATGGGCGCTTGATTGGCGTGCTCGCGGCGTTTTATGCAAAGCCTCGAAATGCCCCTATCGCCGCGCGATGTTTTCCGACTCTAATCGTGCGCGCGGGGATAAAGTCGAATCCTGAAAATTGGACTGTCTCTCACTTTTTATTTCGCTATTCGTAAACTGAGGGAAATATCGGGAAAAAATTCGCGAAGGAAGAGAGAGAGAGAGGGGGGGGGGGAGAGAGACAAAGAAATAGAGAGGAAGAAGGAGAAAGAGATTGCTCTTTCTCTCTTTTCAGTGAGACTTGATGTTCTAAGGAAGTTAAAAAAAAAGGTAAAAAAACAAAGTTAAAAGTTTTTCCACAAAGTTCTAATTTTACAAGATGCATAAACGGAAGCGGGAATATATCTTTAGCGTGCCCGCAGT